CAGAGGGACTCCATGGGGCATTCACATACATGCTTCAATGCAGGTGCCTGGCTGCCTGGCCCCTACTCTTCCTTATCTCTGCCAATTCCCTCAGGCTTTGGTCACTTTCTCTGTAGCTCTCACATTATTGAATGGCTAGCATGTGGCGGCAGCTAAACATCATATTGCCTCACTGTTCTCACAACAACTCTATGGGTTGAATATGATTATTACCCCATTTAACAACTGAGGAAACTAATGGCCCAAAAACATCAAGGTAATTTGCCCAGGGTCTTCAGCTAGAAAGTGACAAAGCCAAGTTGCCTGGATCTACCATTTCTGTTCTTCTATTCAAATGGGAGGGTCACCAGAGGAGTGCTGTTTACACACACACCACACACACACACGCACACGCATGCACACACATGCGCACACCACTACTCCTTTAAGGACTCCCCTGCCTGGATAGTTTGCTGGAAATGGGAAACACTGGTTTTCACTGTGTCTCCTATACGTTTTTTTTTTTTTTTTGGAGACGAGTCTCGCTCTGTCACCCAGGCTGGAGTGCAGTGGCCAGATCTCAGCTCACTGCAAGCTCCGCCTCCCGGGTTTACGCCATTCTCCTGCCTCAGCCTCCCGAGTAGCTGGGACTACAGGCGCCCGCACCTCGCCCGGCTAGTTTTTTTTGCATTTTCTAGTAGAGACGGGTTTCACTGTGTTAGTCAGGATGGTCTCGATCTCCTGACCTCGTGATCCGCCCTTTTCTCTGGTCTCGATCTCCTGACCTCGTGATCCTCCCGTCTCAGCCTCCCAAAGTGCTGGGATTACAGGTGTGAGCCACCACGCCCAGCCAGCAATTCTTTACTGAACAGCTGCTGTGCTCCAGGTACTTTCCTTTAGAGTCTGGGAACAGAGAAGGAAAAGCCTAGATTTTTACTTCAAGGAGTTCACGGTACAGAAGACAGAAAGGAGACCAGATTATTAGAACAGAGAGCAAGATGCGCACCAGTTAGCATAAGTAAAAGGACTAGAACAGGCACACCGGAGCGCTAGGCTGTGGGGTGGATGTTGGTGAGGTCAATTCGGGCAGTTTTCACAGAGGAAGTGAGGTGCCGTGGTCTCATCTAGAAAGGGAAATGCATTTCAGAGGGGAGAGTAGGGGCCAAGGCACAGAGATGCAAAACAATGTGGTGTGTTTAGGTAAGGACTAGTGGTTCAGCATGGCTAGTATGAGCAAAAAATATGAAGGAGGGAGAGCTGGGAATGTGGCTACAGAGCACTAAAAGGGTTAAGTTACCCTGTAAGGAGTGTGGGTTTTTATCTTGTGGCACTAGGGTCTTCCAGAAGAGTTTAAGCATTCAAGTAACATGGTCTACCCAGGGGCCAGTATCTTCCTACCCTGCCTCACCTATGGCTAGGAGCCCAGGAACTCTTTTCACAGAGGAAGAGTGCCCCGGCCTGTAGCTTTACACTGGCAGTGGTGCAAAGGGCAGATGTGAGAGGGGAAACATGGAGGCACAGATACTGCTGGGCTACAGCGGGACGGGGTGAGGCGGTGCTGCCACGGGGCTCCCTGTTACCTGGAACACCCCCTCCTCAGAAGGCTGTAGTGATTCCCACTCAGGAGAGTCCATGAACTGGTATGGAAAGATGTAGTGCAGAAACTGCCCATCCTGGCTCACACGAACCCTGGCAAGGGAAGAGAAGAGATCATGTGGGAAAAGGAAAATGGCTCTCCAAGTCATCTATTCTGAAGTTAGGTGTCGCTGATTAACACGAATCTTCCTGTAGAAATACTTTGCCTAAAGCATGGCAAAACCCAAAGCTAGACTAGCCAGCCTAGTTACTGCATGCAAATAGTTCAGAAATGGAACCCATTGAGACTTCCCGAACCCTCATTTTCCTCCTCCTTCTCCTTACTGGTGGTTCTCAATTTCAGGCTGCAGAGTAGAAGCCCCAGGGAAGCTTTTAAAAAAGCACCTAGGCTTGGGCCTTATCCCAGAGCAATGAAACAAGAATCTCTCTAGGTAGGATCTGGATATTATTAGTATTTACATCTCCCCAGTGATTCTAATGTGTAGCCAGGATGGAAACTACTGCTCAAGAACTCTGCTGCTGGCCCAGTGTAGTGGCTCACACCTGTAATCCCAGCACTTTGTGAGGCTGAGGCAGGTGGATTACCTGAGGTCAGGAGTTCGAGACCAGCCTGGCCAAGATGGTGAAATCCCATCTCTACTAAAAGTACAAAAATTAGCCAGGCATGGTGGTGAGTGTCTGCAATCCCAGCTACTTAGGAGGCTGAGGCAGGAGAATCACTTGAACTCGGGGGCAGAGGTGGCAGTGAGCCGAGATCACACCACTGCACTCCAGCCTGGGCAAAAGAGCAAAATTCTGTCTCAAAAAAAGAGAAAAGAACGCTGCTGCCTATTTAAGTTTACATTTACACTAATTAAAATTAAATAAAATTAAAAATTCAGTTCCTTACCTAATTACATTATAGGTGCTCAACAGCCACATATGGCCTGTGACTACCATGTTGTACAACACAGATCTAGAACATTTCCGTCATCACAGAAAGCTCTGTTGGATGCCACTGCCCCACAGATTCTCCTTTCTTCCTTCCCATTAGCTACGTGAAGATCCATGCTTACATTTAACCACTTTGTAGACTTTGAAGGAAGTGGCAAGTCCAGTATATGCCAGACTCTGCTAGACACTTTACCAGTGTTCTCTTATATAATGTTCACAACACCTCAAGGTAGATTATTCTTTTCTGTATTTTATAGCTAAGGAAACTGGTGCTCAGAAGGGTTGAGTGGCGAGCTTAAGTTTACATAGCGATCAAGTGGCAGAACCAAAATTCTATGTTCTTGGCACAACACCGTGTTGCCACCCTATTACTAGAGCTTTGGGTAGATGGTAGTGGACTCTCCCAGCATGACCCCTTCCCTGACCTCTCTAACCACAGGGGACAATAATAGCTTGTTTCTTTAGACAATGAGATCCTACGCACCCTATCCAGTTGATGGTCCTAGGGTGAACACCTAACTCAAGCTGAGCCAATCAAACTCCTTCCCTGCGAATTTGGAAATGGAATTGAATGTAAATCATGCCTTGGATGGGGACAATTATCAGACATTAACAAAACTAACATACTCCTCCCTGAAGGAACTAAAAAAAAATTTTTTTTTGACACATAACTCAGACTTTGGAGAGCATGGGTCCCAACTGGCTATAGAGAAAATAGACTTGAAATCACATAAAATGTCCTAGTAGGACACGTTCTTGTTTCTAGTACTACCTGAGGCTCAGGTGCATGTCTTTCCTTGAGTTTCATGAGAAATCCTTGTATCTTTTTAAATAAAGACCTTTCCACCCCCCACACCCTTCTGCTGGCTAGAGTGGGTTTCTGTCTGCAGCCAGAAATCCTAATTAATATATTCACTTTAATTTTATGAATATTCTTATTCCACACTACCAACAGGTTAAACAATTGCTCTTGACTGGCCCATGACCCCAGGCTTGGTTTCACAACTTAAGGGGTTAGGAGCCTTACTATTGCTGCTTGCTGCCTTTGTACGCTTGTGGCTGTATGACGATGCCTGAGGATAGGGAATGTATTTCAGATGTGATGCCACATCTGGAAAAAGATTAGAATCCAGTATGGGCTTTATCCTTCCCTCTCAACCACTGCCCAGAAAACTTAAGAGTTCCATCTTTAACCTTTCTTCTAAAGTGAGTTATATCGGACAATGGGGTGCCTCTATTAGGCAAAGGGGGAAGATGAAAAAGATCTCTAAGGTACACCTTGTTCATTTGGTGGAGATATCCCATTATTTCTGGAGATTTATTGGCTAAACAGACATTCATGGAGCATCTCCCATGTTCCTGGAGATCTGGGAATGCAGAGATGGATACAATCTGGTCTTTGTCTTTGAGGATTTCACAATTTAGTGGAAGTCACAGGCACATAAATAACTGACTGTAAGTCAATGTGATAGGTGCTATTGTGGAACAGTAACAAAGGAGGGAGAGAGATTGGTTCTCTCTGGGCAGCAGACTTCTTGAAGGAGATGACAGTTGAAGTGAATTTTGAGGGATGCAAAGGGTATTGAGAAGCAGATAAACATGGGGATGAACAAAGACCTGGGAAATCCAGTGTGGCAGTCTGTTCTCCAGTAGCTGCTTTCTTCTCTTCCTTAATGGTGCTAGATTTTAACTGGACACATGACTGCAGAGCAAAAATCAACATTTCTCTACTTCCCTGACTGCTAGGCATAGGCATGTGATAAGTCCTGGCCAATGGGATATCAGCACTCCTGAGCCTTCCTTTTAATGAACGCCTAGGTATATATGCGTGTATACAAATTACCAAAGATCATGACCAATTAAAAAACGATTGCACTTATTATCTGACAACCTAAAACTGGAAGACAGGAACACTCTGAATAAATATGTGTGGAAGGGGGAAAACAAGGAAAGAAGGAAACAAGAAAGGAAGGATGAATAAATCAACAAAGGAAACCAAGGAACAAACACACTTGTGTCACAATAAAAGGGGATCAAAACCTCAGTGAAAAGCTTCCCTAGGAAAGGAAGACAGCAGAAGAGAATGGTGCTGCTGCAGCACCTGTCAGATCCTTAGGCGATTTCAGCCACCCAGGCAAGCCACTAAAGAGTGATGACTATAGAGTGTAGATAGTGTCTAATGGTCTTCATGGCTCGCTGAAGCCATTTTAATTGGAATGCTGTGCCCTTTATCATCTGTCTCTTCTTCCTTCTTGATCTACTGGATGATGGATGATCTTCTCCTATATGAATAGCTTAGATAGTTAGTTGCCTGCTCAGGGGGTTGTATATATGGAAGTTTGTGTTTTGAATTTTATATGAGAGAAATTGTCTAAGTTAAGCTCTGCTTAACAGGGAGACAGACTTTGAGGAAGTCACTTTGCCTCTCTGAGTTTTGAAAGAGATTGGTTTAGATTGGTTTCCTTTATTAAAATAAAACAAAATGACTTCTGAAGTTTGAGTGAAGGACTCTAGAGAACAGTGTGCATGTGAGATCGGGAAGTCTGCACAAGAGTCCCCACCTCCTGGCACAAAGTTCTTGTCTGCTGCTTTGAGATGTTTGCTCCCTTACTGCAACCAGCCCAGGGTTCAGCGATTCTCCTTTAAAACTAGAGCCCAGTCATAGACTAGAAGCCTTTTCCCCTATGTCCAGCTCAGCAAAGCTGAGACAGGGTGACATTGAAAGATAACAAAACTCTTACTCCAAACCTTGAAAGGCAAGAAAAAAAATCAAAATTGTCTAATTTCTGACTCGGCCTTTTGATGCTAAGTATACCAGGAAAAGCTACAGCAAGGGCAAGCCCCCCTCTCCCCTTCACTGGGAAGTGATCTTATACAAGTCCACAGTAAATCTGTCCTACCTGAACTCTGCAGTAACCCTACATGCTTCCAGCAAATGAGCACCCTACACTGGAGGAAGCACTTCTGCTGGTCTCAATTTCCTCCTTTGAACAGACAATTTACAACGTCATGGGTCTCATGAATGAGCAAGTTCCCTAAATTGTCTTTAAGCATGGAACTATAGGTGCAAACATTTTGGCAATAGTTATATGTATTTGTATTTACACTTATATTTGTTTAGAAATAATCACATTGGTTTACACTATCAGTTCACCAATAAATGAAATGAAATGTACCCCCACAAAATGTCTCCCCTCATAGTTCATTCAACCCAGGACCTCTGAGTTCAAACAAAATCAAAACATATATACATGATATTTCAGGTTCTATAAATGAATACATAAACGTGTATTATTACTATTAGTGGTAGTTGTAGTACAATTAGCATCATTGTCAAACGTTTTTCCCCCATTGTGTGGTTGGCAGTATTATCTGGATTCGATTTGTTTTTTCTTGGAATTGGAGCCTTCTAATTGCCATCTTACCTTTTCTACCACATTCTCCTGGTCTCAAGAAAGCTGGTGGAGTGGGGGTTGTGGGGCTCAAGAGCCACTAGGGCAGTATCAAAAAAATCCACAATTACCTACTAAGTGTGTAGCACAGAGCCCCGTGATATTTTCTCAGAAGATTTCCGTGCCCAACATTCACATCCAGGTTGACTGGGCATACACTGATCCTGACTAAGACCATCTCTGCCCATATCCGACTGTCAGCCTTCTCCAAAAGAGGCGGTGCTTCCACACAAGCCTTAATGAGATCAGCATAAGCATCACTTCTCTTCTCCCATTGTTAGGCCCTCAGATTTACAGTACTGTACTTGACTTCTTAGTTTGCAAGAGCCTCAATAGAACAACTGGAAATGGAAAGGTGGGCAAGGGGTATTCACTCTCCCTACCTGGCTGCATACAGGTACCCCAAACACAAGTGGGGCTGTTTCCTCGATGCCTTGGCAGGGAACAGGGATTATGAGAACCACCCCCCTTCCCTGATCTCCCATTTCTAGCATTGTTCCCTGAATATAGTTGGTACTTAGCAAATGTTGAATTTGAATAAGGAACAGATTAACCTTACTGAAATGTTAGTTTTTCAAAGCTTACAGAGATACTGCTGCAGCTTAGGCATGACACACTGATATGTGTGTGGTGGTGGTAGAGGGGTTCTTTAAGGCCCAGGCGCAAGACACACACACTGCACACCTTCCAGCAGCAAGGGCACACACAACCATTCTTGCCAACCAAGATGCCTCACCAACTGGTTTCTTCTTGGAAAATGCCAAGAAAGAGGAAGCAACCCCACTCTTAGAAAAATCTATTTTGGTTTGTTTGACTTGTCACATCCTTCCCTCAATGGAATGGGACATGAAATGGAAAGGGACACACTAGGAAATGAGAAGTGTGGGCGGGGGAAAGAAATTCTGGGCAATGGACAGAGTAGCTTACCGGCCAGAGAGCAGCAGGGACAGGCGGTTGATGGGTGTCTCACCCTCCACGGCATAGGTCTGTTCAGTGGCCAGAGTTAAGACCTGCTTCTCGCAGCAGTGAACAATCTCCTTGTATGTCTGTAGGGGCACCTGCAGGGGCAGGCACAGCGTCTTGTAGAGGAGGTCAAACTCCTCAGCGAGGGTGTCCTCACGCAGGCGGTATACCAGGTGTGCCAGCTGGAGCAGGCAGACCACAGCTAGCAGGAAGCTCCAAAGAACAATGTCCAGGCCACAGGCACTGAACCAGCCCCACAGCACACAGCACAGGTAACCTGCACTCAGGAAGCCAAAAAAATAGAAGCATCCATACACCCCACTGCCCCCCATGAAGCCCAGGAGTAAGAGGCAGTTGGCTAAATGGTAGACAGCCCCTTCCACATCCTGCTTCCAGCTAATGCACGCTGAAGCCTGCAAGAGAAGCTGGCCCGCTCTGCTGCTGTTGGCGCTCATCTTTGGGGCCTCTCAAAGCCTCACTGGGCTCTAATACGTCCTCACATAGGAAATTCAGAAAATGAATGAATCCGTCCGTTCAGGGTTCTTCTCACCTCCAGCTTCTCGCCACCAACTCCACCTTTCTTAGAAGGAATGCTTCCAGTGGCTTTGGGAAGGAGTGATGGAACATAGTATACTTCATGGAGAATTTAAAAATCTCTCTCTCTCTCTCTCTCTCTCCTCCCCCAACCTCTCCCCCTCCCCGCCCCCCCACCCCTGCCTCAGCAAGGCTCTGGCTCTCCCTGCAGAGCTCTGGCAAACTTCCTTGGTTCCATGTTTCTTGGGGCAGTCTTCAAATTTGGTTCTTAGCAGAAAAACCTAAATAGTCCCAAGGGAAAGTAGCACTACAGGACCGAAAAGCCCAGCAGTGTGGGATGACGCGGCCACATCCTGCTCTCTGTTTTTCCCAAGCAGAATGAGGAGAGCCAGCATGGGAGGCACACTTGTGTTCCATTTGGAATGTGTTCTCTCTTGGCACCGGAAGAAAGGGTGACCCCAGATGGATACCATGTTTGGAATTGGAATCCAAGAGGTACTGGCAGTGAGAAAAAACAGGCCAGGCACAGACAGCCTGGCAGAGCACTTAACATACCTCCCAGAGGACGAGATAAGACCTCAGGGTGAGAGAGGCAGACAAGGAGAGAGAAAGGAAAAGTGAGCACAGAATTCACCTCAACGCTTCAGGTAGGAAACTGTCCCCAGCTCCCTGTGGGGAGAGCCAGACAGTGCTCCTGAGTGAGGACACATCAGAGTAGGAAAGTGTGGGACTATTATCAGAAAAAGTCCTAACAGTGAAAGCTGGGAAAACCCCTGAAGGCCTTTATTAAGTCACACTGCAAGTATCATTACATATTTATTTGACATCCATTTAGCAAAAGTAGCTATGTAAAGCGGCTTTTTGAATTCTAAGCTGGCTTTCCCCTGCATATATCTGGATCTGGTAATAGTAAACAAATAATAATACATTGCCCAGATCATCATCCCACCCACTCCAGTGTTTCCAGGTTATAATTCCCACCTATTAAACACCCATGAAGTACTAAACCTAGATTAGGCATTTTATACACTTATAAGTTAGTTGTGACAACAACCCTTCAAAATAAATACTATTCTCCTTCTAGATCTAGAAGAAACTGAGGCTCAGAGAGGTAACAAGCTCCCACAGATAGTAAGTGGCAGAGCCAGGATTTGAACCCAAGTCTATCAAACTTAATACTCTGTCCCAAGGGGTTTGCCAGTAAGTGGAAGTACAGTACTAGATCCATGACTCCCAACTCCACACTTCTATGAAGTCTGACAATTTTCAAGGAACTTCTGGTTGAACCCAGGAATCTACTTTGGGCTGCCAAGAGATAAAGCTGGAGTATGCAAACATTAAGCTAAGAAATGTTGGCTGGGCGCAGTGGCTCACGCCTGTAATCCCACACTTTGAGAGGCCAAGGCGGGTGGATCACCTGAGGTCAGGAGTTCGAGACCAGCCTGGCCAAGATGGTGGAAACCCTGTCTCTACTAAAAATATAAAAATTAGCTGGGCGTGATGGCAGTGCCCTGGTAAGTTCAGCTACTGGGGAGGCTGAGGCACGAGAATCTCTTGAACCTGGGAGGCAGAGGCTGGTGACCCAAAATTTTGCCACTGCATTCCAGCCTGGGTGACAGAGCGAGATTCTGTCAAGGAGGAAAGGAAGGAAGAGGAGAAGGAAGGAAGGAAGGAAGGAAGGAGGAAGGAAGAAGAAGCGAGGAGGGGACGCGAGAGGGAGGGAGGGAGGGAGGGAAGGAAGGGAGAAAGAATGACTCTATGGATTCCAAATGACTCCTTGATTCTTCCTGCTGCTAGGTCAGTACTTACTACCATTACTCCTATTGCCCCTGAAGTGCAGGTGGGGCGCTCAGTAACCTCCCAGAACTAATCAAGCACTCAATCCATAAGGACTTTTACTATGCTGTTATAACTTGATAAAAATTTAAGAGAAATGAGAAATTGTCAAATATGGATGTTTTCACTCAACAAATATTTATTGAGTGCCTTTTATGAGCTAAGCACTTGGGGATCAAAAATCCTCAAGAGAAACTTTCACCGTTAGGGTAAAGAGACCTCAAAAAACAAAGGCAGTTCAGTGTGTGAAGCGCAACAACCAAGTTAAGTTTGAAGGATGGTGGCAGCCTAGAAAGAAGGGTGGCATCAGGGAGGGAAGATGCAAAGAAGGGCTGGCCTCTAATTTAAGGTTTAGAGGTTGAATTCACCAGGCAGGTAGAGGGAGAACAGCATTTCTAGTGGCAAGAACAGCAGAAGCACGGGCACAGAAGTATGAAAATGCACGGCATGTTGAAGGAAGCCATTTTTTTCTCAACCTAATTAAAATCATCTGGCCAACAAATATATACCGTATTTCCTCCTTTCTAAAGTTAAGAGGAAAAAAATCAGTAAAGGAAAGAGCTGGAGTGTCTGGAGAAGAAATGTCATTGAGTCCACTTCATGGACATGATTTGGACCCCTGAAGTCATTTGAACAGTGGGGTTTGGGGATTTCCATATACTGTTTTTATGTCACTTGCCTGCCTCCCAAACAACCCCCCTACTTTAACAAGCAGCAGCTGCTCATCCTTCTACCGCAGACATGCAGGCCCTGAGCTTCCAGAGTAGCTGTCCCTGCCAGCTGTAAGCAGGGAAGTCAGAAGCACAGAAATGGAGAAGCAACCAAGGCTCTGCCCAAGATAGAATTTCAAAGCAGCTCATCTTTCTCAGGAGACCCGCCAAAGAGGTTGGCCCTGACCCATTAAAGAGACAGGCAGACCCATTAACTCTATGGTTCACTTGTCCTGCTGCCCAGACTGCACTCAACCTGCTTTCCTGCCAATCCACGTATGTGCTGTCTCAGCAGAGGGGACTAACATTTACCAAGAAACTATTGTTTTCTCATGTTATCTTACTATACCTATTTTTTGTTTTAATAGAAGAAGCAGGCTTAGAGAGGCTAAGGAACTTGCCCAAGGCCACAAAGCTAGTCAGTCTGTGAATAAGGATTAAAGCCCAGGTCAGTGTGTATCTGAATTGTATATTCTCTACAATATATTAATAGCATCCTACCAGGTACTTTTGGGAGTTTACATATCTGCATATACAAGCTCATCTATTGCTGCTGGAAATCTGAGTATGTTGCTAGGGTGGCATACATGTCAGAGAATCATGGGTGCAAAAACCCCACACGTGGCCTGCAGTAATAGTGAAACTGATGCCCACAGGATAGGACCTGTGATTAGAACACAACAATGAAAAGTTGTGTCTTGTTTAAGTCCAGATCTGATAGAAAAGGAAAGAAAAAATGTATTATCTGTCAAAATAGTATGTTCTTACAAGGAAATACACAAACATGAAGGTAGAACACAATAAAAAACATCTGGGAAAGAAAAAAGGAAAGAAACAGAAGTTTTCTCATTTGTTGAGTTGATTCAATTCAGTAGGTATTTATTCAGGACAAACTATGTGTTCCAAGAACAGGGGATATAAAGATGAATAATTATCACTTCAAGAAACTTTCAGTCTATCCTGGATACTGACCCAGAAACTGTAATCCAATAAAACAAGTGTACCTAGGATTCAAAGAAAAAACACTGATGAGGGAGCAAATAATTTAATGCATAGGGACTTTTACTATACTGCCATAACCTAACTAAAATTCATGAGGTTGGGGCGTGATGGCTCATGTCTGTAATCCTAGTATTTTGGGAAGCTGAGGTGGGAGGACCACTTGTGCCCAGGAGTTTGAGACCAGCCTAGGTAACGTAGTGAGACCCCTGTCTCTTAAAAAAATATTTTTTTCATGAGAAAACATCACAGGGAAGGTGACTTTTAATCTGGTCTAAAAAATTTTCCCCAGCTAGAGGAGGGCATTCCAAGAAGAAAGAACAGATTATAAAGTCAATTCCAGAAGTGAAACAAAATATGTGGCATATTCTGGTAACAGAGAACAGCTTGTTGTAGGTGAACAAAAGGAGCAGCAGACAAGGGGCAGGTGAGGCAGGCTGGGGCCAGCTTGTGAAGTCAGCAGAGTCAACAAGTGCGGTCATGAACTCAGCCTGGTCTTCAAACTGTTTGTTACTGGTCCATGCTGGTTCACACTGGGGTAAGGACAGAAATTGTGAGAGTTTAGACATTTTTTATAGCAATCCCACAGAGAAACTATGGCCTTTGAACAAAAATTCTGGGTTTGTATAGTATATTTTAAAATCTGTATGGGTTTATTTCATTTTCCTGGTGTTGGTCTGTGATGAATTGAGGGGAAAAAAGCTGGTTCTTCACCACATACAGTTTGAGAAACACTGAGCTTGAGGCTAACACTTTCCTAGTATGGATACTAAAATAAAACAGAGGCATAATTTCATGGTCTAGACACACAGTGTCCAGTTGAACTTAAGCAGACACTATTGGTTGACTTCCATAGCCATTTCCCCTTTTTCTTTAGTTTATGCAAATCTAGTTTTGCTTGGGCAATATGTTAAGGAAGGTGGGCTTTTCCCCAGGTTGCCAGAGCCTGATCTAAGATTGGTTGAAGCCAAGCACAGTATCTCATTCCCCTTGGTAGTGACTGGCACAAAAGGAGACATGTGAGCAATGAGATGTAAGAGAAAGTATGTGGGGGAGCTTCTGGGAAAAAGCATACTCCCTGATAGACAGCAGGCCTACCTTTCATCCAGGCTCGAACAGTTGTGTGATGATGTAATGCTTGAAGTTACCATAGTCATGAGATATGATATGCCTAAGGATGAGAAGGATAAAGAACAGAAAAATAGAACAAGCCTAGGTTTTTTGTTTGCTTGCTTTTTTAAGACAGGGCCTTGCTTTGTCAGCCAGGCTGGAATGCAGTGGCACAATCACGGCTCACCGCAGCCTCAGTCCTCTGGGTTCAAGTGATTTCTCACCTCAGCCTCCCAAGTAACTGAAACTACAGGCATGTACTACCATGCCCAGCTAATGTTTTTATTTTCTGTACCGACAGGTTCTCACTGCATTGCTCAGGCCAATCTTGAACTCCAGGATTCAAGCGATCCTCTGGCCTCGGTCTCCCAAAGTGCTGGGATTACAGGCATGAACCACCACACTCGGCCAAGGCTAAGTTCTTGAAAGCACCACTGAGCCACTGTCTCAAACCTGGAGCTTTTAATTTCTAAACTTCCTAACAGGGAGATAAATTACTTTTCTATATTGCTTGCGTCAGCATAGTTGGGTATTCTAGTGCTTGCTTTTGAAAGCATCCTAATTCAGATCTCCCTAAGGACAACTCTTCAGGGAACAGTTCTCTGAACATCTGCTAATTGTCTTATTCTATAAAAACTGAACATCAGAATTATGCTCTACCAATAATTTTCTTTCTAAAGTTTGAGTAAACTACGAGAGGAATTCCTCCTACAAACTCAATTTGACCGTTCAGGGTGACCTGTTAGGTGAACAAGATGGTGCAGTGGAAATCTGGTTGTCTATTCAATATCCAATTACCTCTTCCTCAATTGTGACAGAATTTGTTTTGTCCAGATATCAAACCTGCACATGGATCTAAGCAGGGGTGGGGTGGAGGTGGGGAATCTTGTGTAAGCCAATCAGCATAACGTATTCTGTTGATAACTATTACTGGTCCATAAAAATACATATAACCTAATTTGGCTCAATCAGACTTTAGAAAAGGGACTAAGAGTCCATGCCCAGGAAATGGTTTCCCTCTCTTCTGCTGCACTTGAACAAGAAAGCACATGATGGGCTTCATCAGTCCTGGACGAGAAAGCTCTGAGATGAAAATAACTTGAGTCTTGGATGAAATTAGTGATCCTATGATATCATCACATTTAGAGCTGACTCTAACTGGACTTCCAGCTACGTGAGTTTTCCTTAAGAGGATTTTCTATTACTTGCTATCAAAAGCACCATAATCAACACAGACGGAACATCTAGCACTTTTTAATACCTAAAGAAATAAATACTGGGCATAATCACACATGCACTTTAGGAAAGCATCTTGGAATATCCATCATACCACTGAGCATTCAACTTTATATTTCTATGGTTTTTATATATATATATCCACTAGACTATAAGCTCTCTGAGGGAAGAGTCTATGTCTTACTACTCTTTGACTACTACTCTGTATAGTTGGCATACAGTATGTCCTCAGCAAGTGATGAATCAAACAGCCTCTCATCTTGAAAAAAGCATGTCTGATTCACACATGAATTATCAACACTAGGGCTGTTACCTGCAAATAACAGGCCTTCACTAAATATGCATTAAATGAATTTATAACTACAAATACATGATGTTTATACTGGATAACTAGTACACCAAAGAACACTGGGCTTCAACTTACATCACAGGTTACCAGCTATTGGATCAGGGTGATTTTCTTAACCTCTCCGAGCATCTATACTCACCTG